GTAAAAATCAAACATTTCTGCTACTTTGAGCTCAATTTCAAGGTACTTTTCATTGTAAAACCAGTCAAAATCATCTCAATTTCTGTAATATGTCTTCCATTCTATAAAATGAGACCAGGAAAACTAGAATACAACAATAAATATCATACAAAAATACAGTGCAAAGTCGCTGTTTTAACCCAAAAACACGGTCAAAGTTTTTTTTTCTCATTACGCACTGTGTGCTGCAGGATTTTTTTTTATACCACGCACACTGACCACATAGACTCATTCTTTCATATGTAGGCCTACCAGCTTTCTCTCATTAGATTTGAGGGCGCTAGAATTTAGGCGTACTAGTACGTCAAAAACCCTGGTGCGTAAGCCATTCTAGTACGGCCGAAACCCTGAAAGGGTTAATAATGTTTTACTCTGCATGTCTCATTGTTTTCTGTGTAGGGAAATGTATATTTCATGCAAAAAAATTATTTTGTTTAATACTTTTGGGTGTCTGGAATGGATTAATTGGATTTCCCTTATTTTTTATGGGGAAAATTAATTCGGATTAAGTCAGATTTGGTATAAGACCTGCTCTCTGGAACAGATTAATTATGTTAATGGAGGGTCCACTGTACTATGCAAAGACTGAAAAAAGTGCAGTTTTCTTGAAATTTTTTTTCACAAGTAATCAGCTACGCACACGTTTCCTGGAATATCTCGAAAGTAAGTTATTGATCTATTTGATGTATTACCCTTAAAAATGAACAGATTGAAAGGATTTTCACAGCAACCATAATGTTTTAATTTTGGGAGGCAACATTTTCGAAGTACATATCATTAAGGGGTGGTTCCTCGATTAGCGACAAATTCGTTTACCAACGTGGTCTTAGGAACAGAACTCCATTGGTAAGTGAGGAAAGGCAGTACTCGACCATCTTTGTTAATGCTTAGCCAGCTTTATGTAAGTTTTTATTTAATTCATGCTAAGTGCTAAGCTCATGTGGATCATTCAGTGCTAGACACAGTGGAGGCTTGATCCTCTGTCTCCTAAGCTCGAGACAGACATCCTTCCTATTTATGCTTGTCTGTGTGTTCACAAATACAAAACACGTCTGTCTTTCATTTAGAAGATAGAGGATCGAGCCTCTATAACGTCTTGTGCTGAATGACCCATATACAGTGCTCCTCACGGCATTGTGCCGGGTGAGCGCCCCGGCATAATGCTGCGATGAAAATTAAAGGCCTACTATACAGGGGGTGTCTTTTTACTACTGAGTGAGGTCTCCTAACTCAGCAGTGTAGAACCAAAGGTTATGTTTCTCATATCTCACTTTACCTCACCATTCTAACCCTCATCTTCCTAGCTATGAGTGGGTGTATAACTGTCATGTATCTTCCTTATATGTATGTGCAAGCAAATGTTTCGTCATTTTATGTATGAGTATACAATATTTTCTCTTATGTTATATTACATGGATATAATTGCTGTGAACTGAGTTATCGGCAGGATAATAAAGCAGCATTAAGAAATATGAGGAATAAATAACATGGGTAATTGTGGCACTGCCGAAAAGAATATAAAATGACACACTGATGGATCATATATTCAAGATAAAACTTGCTGTAGCATGAAAGATTGTGAATGTAGAGAATAGTTTTATCATGTCTTTTGTTGTTTTCCTTTGCATATATTTTATTTTGTTAATACACCTATACATATTTTAGTAATATTCTTTCATTTAGTGATTTTTTTTTTAACATGGCTGTTTCCCACCGAAGCAGGGTGACCCAAAAAGAAAGAAAAAACTTCCATCATCATTCAGTACTTTCACCATCACTCATACATAATCATTGTCATTGCAGAGGGACTCAGATACCAGAGTTTAGACGTCCCTCCAAACTGACAATATCCCAAACCCCTCCTTTAAAGTGCAGGCATTGTACTTCTCATTTCCAGGACTGATGTCCAGTTAACCGGTGACCCTGAATCCCTTCACAAAATATTACCCTGCTCACACTCCAACAGCTCATCAGGTCCTAAAAACCATTCATCTCCAATCACTCCTATCTTAAATGCTCATGCACGCTTGCTGGAAGTCCAAGCCCCTCGCCCACAAAACTTCCTTTACCCCCTCCTTCCAACCTTTTTGGGGATGACCCCCTACTCTGCCTTCCTTTCCTTACAGATTTATACACTCTCCAAGTCATTCTACTTTGCTCCATTCTCTGAATGACCAAACCACCTCAACAACCCCTCTTCAGCCCTCTGAGTAATACTTTTAATAAGTCCACACCTCCTAATTTCCACACTACGAATTCTCTGCATAATATTTACATCACACATTGCCCTTAGACACGATATCTCCACTGCCTCCAGTCTCCTCCTTGCTAAAGCATTTACAGACTATGCTTCACACCCATATAACAGTGTTGGTACTGCTATACTCTCATACATTCCCTTCTTTGCCTCCATGGATAAAGTTTTTTGTCTCCACAGATACCTCAATGCACCACTCATCTTTTTTCTTTCGTCAATTCTGTGGTTAACCTCATCCTTCATAAACCCATCCACTGACAAGTCAGCTCCCAAATATCTGAAAACATTCACTTCTTCCTTACTCCCTCCCTCCAGTGTGATATCCAATCTTTCTTTATCTAAATCGATTGATACCCTCATCACTTTACTCTTATCTATGTTCACTTTCAATTTTCTACGTTTACACACCCTCCCAAACTTGTTCACTAACCTTAGCAGCTTTTCTTTAGAATCTCCCAAGACCACAGCATCATCAGCAAAAAGTAACTGTGTCAACTCCCATTTTATACTTGATTCCCCGTAATTCAATCCCAGCCCTCTCCCGAACACCCTAGCATTTACTTCTTTTACAACCCCGTCTATAAATATATTAAAAAACCATGGTGACATTACACATCCCTGTCTAAGACCTACTTTTACCGGGAAGTAATCTTCCTCTCTCCTACATACTCTAACCTGAGCCTCACTATCCTCATAAAAACTCTTTACAGCATTTAGTAACTTACCACCTATTCCATACACGGGTTATTTGTGTATCGTTCCAGTCACGGTATTGTGCCTTTTTGTTATTTATTCCATACACTTGCCACATCTGCCACATTGCTCCCCTATCCACTCTATCATATGCCTTTGCTAAATCCATAAATGCAAAATTTGTTTACAGTGCCTCTCCCACTGTATCTTTTGCTCTCCTTTTGCATTCTCTCACCACTCTCTTCACCTTTCTTTTACTCTTTCTTTTACTCTTCTTATATCACTTCTGCTTTGTAAAAACCTCTCATAAGCTACCTTTTTCTCATTTATCTCACCCTTTACCTCATCATTCCACCAGTCACTCTTTCCTCCTGCACCCACCCTCCTATAGCCACAAACTTCTGCCCCCACATTCTAACACTACATTTTTAAAACTATCCCATCCCTCTTCAACCTTCCCACTACCCACACTTGCACTAGCCCACCTTACTGCCAATATTTTGTTATATCTCACTCTTAACTTCCTCCTCCCTTAGTTTATAAACTTTTACACCTCTTACTTGCTGTTGCCATTTTCCTTTAGTCCCATCTACCTCTTACTCTATCTGTTGCTACAACTAAATAATGATCCGATATATCTGTTGTTCAGGATGTACATCCTGAAGCCTACCTTTCAGCCTTTTATCTACCAATACATAATCTAACAAACTACTTTCATTATGTGCTATATCATATCTTGTATACTTACCCTCTGTTTCATAAAATCTATATTACTACCAAACCTCTTTTTAAACATAGTTCAGTTAAAGGCTCTCCATTTTCATTTACCCCTGGCACCCCAAATTTACCTACTACCTCCACAACATTGTTACCCACTAGCATTGAGATCCCCAACCACAAGTACTCTCTCACTTGGTTTAAAATTCCCCATGCACTCACTCAGCATTTCCCAAAATCTCTCTCTCTCTCCTCTACACTTCTCTCTTTTCCAGGTGCATACACACTTACTATAACCCACTTTTCACATCCAACCCTTGTTTTACTCCACATAATCCTTGAATTTATACATTTATATTCCTTCTTTTCCTTCCATAACTTATCCTTCAACATTACTGCTACTCCTTCCTTAGCTCTAACTCTGTTAGAAACCCTTGACCTAATCCCATTTACTTCTCCCCAGAAACCCTTGACCTAATCCCATTTACTTCTCCCCACTGAAACTCTTCTACCCCCTTCAGCTTCATTTCACTTAGAGCCAGGACATCCAGCTACTTTTCATTCATGACATCCACAATCATCTATCATCATTCGCACTACATCCACTCACATTTGAACATCCCACTTTGACGGTTCTTCTTTTTCTTTTTGGTAGTTTATACAGGAGAAGGGGTTACTACCTTATTACTCCCTGCATTTTAGACGACTTTTACAACACGCATGGCTTATGGAGGAAAGATTCTTATTTCACTTCCCCATAGAAAAGTAATAAGAAAAAGATCTGTTAAGATAACATCAAAGAAAAACTCAGATGAGTGTGTATACATAAATGTGTACACACATGTGTAGTGTGACCTAAGTGTAAGTAGAAGTAGCAAGACATACCTGAAATCTTGCATGTTTATGAGACAGAAAAAGACACCAGGAATTCTACCATCATGTAAAACAAATACAGCCTTCCATTTTAAACTCACTTGGCAGTACTGTAGCACTCCCTGGGCAGTTGCCATCTACCAATCTACTACTTACATTTAGTGATTCATAGCCATTTAAAAGTTTTTGCCCTGAAATATTATTAATTACATTTGCAATCAAAGTAATGAACATAATTTTGATAAGATTAGTCAAATTTCTCTGTGAGACATTTGTAATATGTTCACTGTTATTTATAATTCCTCTTTATTCTCTTAAGTTTCTAATTCTGATTTAGTGTGTATTGTTTACCTGTGAAGAATTTCATGCTGACATGTATCAAGTAATGACTTTTATTTTAATGAGGAAATTTTCCATGTAGGCCCACCCAAGAATGCCTATAGGAAAACCCTGCAACTCTGCTGATATTGTCTTCAGAGATGGCATTACTAACGGAGCAAAGTGGTACAGTGTATCAGGAGGTATGCAGGATTGGAACTACCTCAATTCCAATTGTTTTGAAATTACTCTGGAAATATCTTGTCAGAAGTATCCACCAGCTGAAGACTTGAGAACATACTGGATGGAAAATAAAAATTCCCTGCTAGCATTCATGGAACAGGTAAGCTTAATGATTTAGAAGGAAACAATTTATTTCATGCTCACACTTATTTTAATATGACACTTAAAATAATGCCAGAGATGATTGGCTAAATTATCTTTGGAAATACATTGTTTTAACTTAGATTCCTGTGTAATGGTTATCTGTACAATGGAATAATAGGTCAACTGCTCACAGGTGAGGTCAAGTAGAGGTCAATAGAATGATAGGTAAACTGCTCACAGGTGAGGTCAAGTATAGGTCAGTGGAATGATAAGTAAACTGCTCATGGATGAGATCAGATAATGATACTTAGCCAGGCAGGCATCTGTTAGGGAATATAGTTGGTACTGGAAGGTGTGCCAGTGACAGGTGGGACACGGTGTTGCTAGGTCAGGTGTTACAAGGTGTGGAATGTCAGAAGTGGGACATGGTCTTGTTAGTCAGGTATTGCAAGGTGTGGGAGTGACGGAACCAGGACGTGATGGTGTAAGGTGTCAGAATGACAGAAATGAGACATAGTGTTGCAGTAATGGAAATTGTGTATGGTGTTGCCAGATCAGATGTTGCTAGGTGTGGCAGTGACAGAAGTGGAACATAGTGTCACTAAGTCAGATGTTTCATGTTTCTGGAGAATGAATTGCACAAGGTTCGTTGCGATGTTAAAATCTTGGATTATGTTAGGCGGTGTTTCTCAGAAACTTGTATTTAATTGCAACATTTTTCCATCAAAATAGCTGTATTTTTTTTATAGATTATTGAGATTTGACTTCATTGTTTTGACATAATGTGCATTATTTTTTTTTAGCTCGCCTGACATCTCCCACCAAGGTAGGATGAGCCAGAAAAAAAAAGAACACAATTGCCATCACTCATTTAATAGCTGTCTAACCAGAAGTGCAGACATCACAATTCAAATGACCCTCATATCACATCCTTACTCCTTCAGAGTGCAGGCACTGTACTTCCCACCTCCAGCTGACTGGTGTCCCTGAATCCTTTTGTAAATGTTACCTTGCTCACACTTCAACAGTACATAAACCCATAAACAATCATTTCTTTCTTTTCTGACCTAACACACTCGCACATATCGATTGGGCTCTTGAGCCCCTACAATCAAAATCTTTGCCCTCTTCCGCTAACCTTTCCTGGGATGACGTCTAGCCCTCCTTTCTTAAACCCCAGATTTATACACTCCCTTGGTCATCCTATTCTGCTCCATCCTTCTAAATGCCCAAGCCACCATAACAGCCCCTCCTCTAACCTTTTAATTACACTTTTTGTAACTTCTTCTTGTCTTCCAATTTTTGTGCTTGGAATTCTCTGCATGATATTCACACCACACATTGCTCTTAACCTTGTACTCTCACTTAGATCTATGTTACTGATGCCAGTGTTGCCTGCGTAGATCTTATTTTAAGCACAGCACCTTCAATTATGCTATGAGCAGTAAATTTTGGCCTAAACATGAGAGAATTGTTCTGTGTAGAGGAGTGTGAACAATATAAAAAAAATCTTGCTCCATGCAGTGCATGATGGGAAAGCAAACCTCTGATCTTGTGTTTGGTTTAAAATAGCAATTTAAGGTGTTTTGTAGGCTGTTTCTTGGTATCATTGATAGATTGGTAACCATACTACTGAAGTAGAGATGATTTTGGTCAGTTTCAGGCCTGCAAGTAGCATGAAATAGGGTTCAGAGCATTGGAAAAATTAAATTTTTGATGATTTTTCTGAGGAAAGGTAAGATCCTCCCCCACCCACTCTACCCCTTCTCTTGCTTATGGGTTTTCATTTGGTCTACTTCATTTATTGAGATGCTCTAATCCATGACCAATCACCTCTGGTTATATTTTATTATCCAGTTACGATATTTTAACTTGTAATCTTCACTTAAAACTTTTCTTTCTAACTTCAGTCACAAGGACAGAACAGAGAATGACTTGCTTACTAATATAATATTCTGTGATCATCCAAACAAATAACACTTTACCCACTCATACTTGCAACTGCACCACACAGTTTGCATACTGATGTTTTTGTTCCATGTTTACAACAGATGTTACAGTCTGTTGACCACTAGCAACAGGCTGAATATAGAATATACACACAGGGATTTAGAAGCAAATAAACTGGAACCCCAAATTTTGTGAGTCTCAAGTTTAGTGAATTTTGAGTATCGGCAACTTTTTTCGTTAAAATATAGCCCCAAGTTTCGTGATTTGCCTCAAAATTCGGCGGTCGTATGGAACACGTCCAAGCGACTTCCCAGCGGCCGTATGCACATAAAGGCTCCCACACACCATTCAGAGTCAGTGTGGCATTGTTTCTGGGCGTGTGACCATCACCCCACGCGTTCATACGATACATTTCATGATAATCCTTTCTTTTTTGTGCTTGCAACTGCTAAATAAGCCACCATGGGCCCAAAGAAAGCTTCTAATGACAGCCCTTTGGTAAAAAAGGTGAGAAACACAATAGAATTAAAGAAAAAGTTTGTAGAAAAATACGAAAGTAGTGGTAGTAGTGATAGTGGTAAAGGATGGTAGTGGTTGTGATGGTGGTAGAGGGTGGTAGTGATGGTGGTAGAGGGTGGTAGTGATGGTGGTAGTGATGGTGGTTGTGATGGTGATAGAGGGTGGTAGTGATGGTGGTAGAGGGTGGTAGTGATGGTGGTAGTGATGGTGGTTGTGATGGTGGTAGAGGGTGGTAGTGATGGTGGTAGAGGGTGGTAGTGATGGTGGTAGAGGGTGGTAGTGATGGTGGTAGAGGGTGGTAGTGATGGTGGTAGAGGGTGGTAGTGATGGTGGTAGTGATGGTGGTTGTGATGGTGGTAGAGGGTGGTAGTGATGGTGGTAGAGGGTGGTAGTGATGGTGGTAGAGGGTGGTAGTGATGGTGGTAGAGGGGGGTAGTGATGGTGGTAGTGATGGTGGTAGAGGGTGGTAGTGATGGTGGTAGAGGGTGGTAGTGATGGTGGTAGAGGGTTGTAGTGATGGTGGTAGAGGGTGGTAGTGATGGTGGTAGTGATGGTGGTAGAGGGTGGTAGTGATGGTGGTAGTGGTTGTGTTGGTGGTAGAAGGTGGTAGTGATGGTGGTAGAGGGTGATGGTGGTTGTGATGGTGGTAGAGGGTGGTAGTGATGCTGGTAGTGATGGTGGTAGAGGGTGGTAGTGATGGTGGTAGAGGGCAGCAGTGGTTGTGATGGTGGTAGAAGGTGGTAGTGGTTGTGATGGTGGTAGATGATAGTAGTGGTAGTGATGGTGGTAGAGGGCAGTAGTGGTTGTGATGGTGGTAGAAGGTGGTAGTGGTTGTGATGGTGGTAGAGGGTGGGGGTGATGGTGGTAGAGGGTGGGAGTGATAGTGGTAGAGGGTGGTAGTGATGGTGGTAGAGGGTGGTAAGTAGTGGTTGTGATGATGGTAGAGGGTGGTAGTGATTGTGGTAGATGGTAGAGCTGCAAGAGTTCTCTTAGAGAATGGACAGTTTTTTTGTGTGACAGGGGTCCAGTGACTCTCAAGCTGGTCCTAGTGCCATTAAAAAACAAAGAAGGGAAGTTACCCCAGATAGGAACTTGGTACCTAAAGTCTTTATGGAAGGGGATTTCCTTTCCAAACAATAGTGTAACTTCTTTATCCTCTCCCCTCCTCCCATCTTCCATACACCAACAAGAGTCTTCAATAAAGGTAAGTGTGATGTTATTATTGTTTTATACTTGATTTTTCATTCTTTTCTGTATGTAAACCTATATTTAATCTATAACAAAAATAATTTTTGTTAATATTTTTGGGTGTCTGGAACGGATTAATTGAATTTACATTATTTCTTATGGGGAAAATGTTTTGAAATTCGTGAATTTCAACTTTTGGCAGACTCTCTGGAATGAATTAATCATGAAATTCAGGGGTCCACAGTAATTATAGACAAAACATATTTCTTGGGAAATCACAAATGAAGTTGTAACAAACTCACATTCTGCATTGTCAAACTTCAAAATAGCCTTCAGATGGGTTGTATCAGCCAAAATGTATGTTGATCAATATTTAGGTTAACAGCATATTGTTTTAAAGACTTATTTTCAAATTTATATGATGGCTGTAATAAGGGCATAATTATTATTCATTGGTGATAAATTAGATAAAATTAAGCAAAGAGAAGCTAACTCTATGCAGCAGTGTGACTTATTTGAGTTGGAGTTGTTGCTTCATTGGCTTCAGCAAGGAAGTTAATTCATAGGCTTATTATTATTTATTTATTAACACATCAGCCGTTTCCCACCAAGGCAGGGTGGCCCGAAAAAGAAAAACTTTGATCATCATTCACTCCATCAGTCTCTTGCCAGAGGCATGCTTACACTACAGTTATAAAACTGCAACATTAACACCCCTCCTTCAGAGTGCAGGCACTGTACTTCCCATCTCCAGGACTCAAGTCTGGCCTGTGAGTTTCCTTGAATCCCTTCATAAATGTTACCCTGCTCACACTCCAACAGCACATCAAGTCCTAAAAATCATTTGTCTCCATTCATCCTAGCTAACATGTTCATGCATGCTTGCTGGAAGTCCAAGCCCCTCTCACACAAAACCTCCCAACCTTTCCTAGGCCGACCTCTACTCCGCCTTCCCTCCACTACAGATGTGTACACTCGCAAAGTCATTCTATTTTGTTCCATCTTCTCTGCATGTCCGAACCACCTCAGTAACCCCTCCTCAGCCCTCTGGATAATAGTTTTGGTAATCCTGCACCACCTCCTAGTCTCCAAACTACGGATTCTCTGCATTATATTCATACCACACATTGCCCTCAGACATGACATCCCCACTGCCTCCAGCCTTCTCCTTGTTGCAACATTCACCACCCATGCTTCACACCCATATAAGAGTGTTGGTATAACTATGCTCTTGTACATTCCCCTCTTTGTTTTCGTGGATAAAGTTCTTTGTCTCCACAGACTCCTCAGTGCACCACTCACCTTTTTCCCCTCGTCAGTTCTATGATTCACCTCATCTTTCATTGACCCATCTGCTGA